GGGAAAACGCCGCTAAACCTCGTACTTTAGAGGTGTTTATGTAAACAATTCTGTGATAGCCAGATATATAGTGGTGTTTTCGTGAAAATGCCGTTAAAAATGCGGACTTTAGTAGCGTTTATGTAAAAAATAATGCTATAGCCAGAGATATAGTGGCTTTTTGTTTAAACGCCGCTACAAATGCGTACTTTAGTGGTGTTTATGTAAAAAATACGGCAATATCTTGATATATAGTGGTCATTGTTTTGAAAACCAGGACCGGACCGGACGGTTCAACCGGGAACCGTTGCCTAGTCCGGTTCAAACTAAACCGGTTGAACCGCTATTAGTGAACCGGCCGGAACCGTTGAACATTTCGAACCGGACCAGCTGAAAACCGGGAAAAACCAGAAAAACCGCCAATTTTGTTTTTTTTTTTTAAATTAAACCAAACGACGTCGTTTGTTAAACGAACCAAGTCGAACTCGAGTATTGCTGAGCTCGACTCAAACTTTAAAAGTAAACTCAACTCGGCTCAAACTCACGAACTAAAAATTATCAAGTTCAACTCGAACTCGAAATATAATATTGAAACTTGAACTCGAAAATGCTTGAACTCAAAAAAAATTTAGAAGCTCAATTGAAGCCTAAAATTCGAGCTTGATTGAAGTGAAAGAATAGTTCACTCTATGCTCACCAAAAGGCTCCATGATTTTGAATGTCAAATTACCTCTATTATTTATAGAAGTTAGTTGAGATGTTCTTCTATGTTTCTTAGCCATGTGGATTGTTTTGTTCTCATATTTTTACTCTTTAGACTTTTGGGATGTTCTTCTATGTTTTTTAGCCATGTGAGATTGTTTTTTTTTTAAATTAAACCAAACAATATCATTTTGTTATGATTTTTTTAGCCCCAAATTTATTTTTTAATTATAGTTATATAATTATATTTAATATTTAATATGTTTTATCTTAATTATTATGTTGTAGTTAATTTGAATCATTTTGTTTCACTTGATTTTATGATTTTTAACTCATATATGTTATGACTTGCTTTGAATATGACTTGTGATATACAAAATTATTTTTATTAAATATTTTTGGTATTTTTATTTAATTTTTTAAATAATTATGACGTCGTCCGGTTCTTCAGACCGGTTCGACCGGTTGAACCAGTGAACTGATAGCATGACCGGTCTGAAAACCATGATAGTGGTGTTTGTGTAACAAATGTCGTTACAAATGCGTACTTTAGTGGCGATTTAGAAAAACGCCACGATATACTTGGATAAAGTGGCGTTTTTCATACACACGCCATAATAGAAGCGTAAATAGTGGTGTTTGTTATAAAAACACCGCAAAAATGCGTAGATTAGTGACGTTTTTTTCTCAAAACGCCGCCAAAGTATAAATACCGCCAAAGTATAAATATACCGATCCCTAAAATCTTTTGAACCACTTCTTTAAAACTTATTCGTCTATTCTCTGGTACAAAATCTTCTCCAACTCAACGCGCCAATCACCATCATCGCGCCGAAAGCCTTATTTATCTCCGCCACAAGCTGTCCTTCTCGTTGTCATTTCTAATCTCTCGCATTTTCTAGTTTTCTCGTCATTTTCACTAACGATGTTGTTTTTTGTCTCTCCCGGCGACCAGATAGGGCCTCTCACTGGCGAGAGATTGTTACTTTCTTTTCCTCTTCACCACTATAACACGAATCCAAGGTTTGTTCCCTTATCTCACTACTGAACATTTTGATTTTTCTAAATCTGGGTATTTATGAAAATGGGGGAAAACCAAGCCTACAAGGCTATGCAAATAGCCAGGCTTGGTTCTTCCTCAGCTGGCGTTGAAGAGGTTGAGGATGGCATGGTTTGTACCCATCCTCGGCTGTAAGTTGTAAACGACGTTCACGTTGATTGCGAATTATTATTTTTTGTCTTGTTGGAAAATTGGAATATAATTATATTGATGGCTACAAATGTTAACTTCTTACACATATGGTTTATCTTCATACATTTCTTGTTAAATGTGTAATCAGGCCCCCACGCTTTCCTGGTGTTCTTGTTGGAGATAGGCGGCTGGGTGGTATATCTGGAACTGTTTCAGCTTATGAGAGTTTGAAACTAAGAGGTTATGATGTTGTTGCTATTGTTAGTGAAGATCATGGCCTTGAAAATGAAATACCATTAATGGCATAGTAGCGTACGAGGTAGTTAAAGTTCTTTAACTTTGTTTTTTTCTCTTCATTTGGACTTCGACTCCGATCCTTTACTTTTTTTGTTGTACACCACTAGAAGTAGTCAAAAGTTGAGGCAATATCAGCTTGGTCATGCTATGTAATGGGTTATTAACTTACATTCTTTATTCTTTCTATAGTGCCTATGTTTGTGCTGCCACCCATTCCACAAGACCCATCAAATGACCTAATGGAATGGTTTGATGAATCTTGCAATGTATTTAATTCTTTGAAAGATATAATGCTGGAAGCTTATTTAGAAAGAATACAGAGACTTAATGAGATGCCGAGAAAAGCTGGAGATGTTTTCTGGTGGCCATTCGCTCAACACAAACTTGTACCACCTTCTAATGTTACAGTCATTGATTCATGCTGTGGTGAAAACTTTTCAGTGTACAAGGTTTGTGCATTTCATATAATATAAGACGGCCAGTAGCCTAACTCACTTATATTTTCCGTGTTATACTCTACTTTTCCACTTTAGCATACAAGTTTTTTTGGTTTTTCTTTCTGAAGTTAATTGTCAGGTTCTGATATAAAAAATAAATCCTCGCTTTTCATTTGTACATTAAATTACAGGTTCGGAACAAAGAGTACATAACACAACAAATTGATACATGTGCTAGTTGGTGGACTCAAGGACCTGATGCTACTTTACAAGTCATCTTTATGTTTTCTTCTCTCTTTGTATCCCCCTCTTTTTCTCTGATGGTGTATTTTGTCCCCTTAGTCTAGTATCTCTCACTTTTCCTAATATTGAGGCCTCTGTTAAACATTTTGCCCTATATATTTGTTTGCTTGTAAAGATTGCTCAAGAAAAGTAAATGTAAAACCTAAGTTTAGATTAGGGAACGGAGTTTCTTACTCTCTTACCAGTGGGTTAATTTGCTATTTAGATGCCCTCGCATATTCATCTCGATATATAGAATGCTCAAAAGTAGGCATTATGTATGAAAATATGACTTTTGAAGTAAATTGAAAAACTCATATTTATCATATCCATAATGAATAATTAAAGCTTGTTATCAGCTTGTTTTCGTTGATATGGGGATATGACCCTTCAAGGATCCTCCAGTTACATGAAAAACTTAGAAAGATTGAACACAACTGTGATAGACAAATACTTGAATCCAATACTCACACTTTGAGTAACATAGCTTAATTCTTTCCTAGACATGAGGTGCAATCTACTTTATCTACTTTGCAGCTGTCAGTTGTCTGAAAATTTTCTTTAATGTTGTATTTCATTAAGGTGGTTTCAGACTGAACTTGCAAGAGATATGGGTTATGCTGTCGCAAGATTTGGGCATGTAATGTTCCCTTAGAATGTGTATGAGTCAGCTTTGGAATGCGCAGAGCTTTTGCTTGGAATGTGTATGAGTCAGCTTTATAAACCTCCTCTCTACTTTCTTCGGTTTCATCATTGCTATTATTCCTTTTACTATCAAATGACAAAATGGTACTGGTAATTACACTCAAATTCACCTTTTCTCATTTTCATTTTCTTTTTACTTTTCCCTCCTCATTTTCTTCTTAGTTAAAACATCTCGATGGTATGATTTTCCGTAAAAAATTATACATGCATGCATACATAGGTATGATTACTATGTATCAGTATTATGCATGCAAAGCTTGCTGTGGTTTTATATGTATTATAGATTAAAACCATGATAACAACATCAATTGCAGCCATTCTTTTCAACTCCGAATTAAAACAAGACAGCGTCATGTCTTGGAAGTTGGAACCGTGAGAGCATAAAAAGATCCCGATGTCGATCGCAGGTTTCCCAGCAAAAAACAATGCACATGTTGTGGCCGAACAGATGATTACGTTTTTGGACGATTGATGGTTTAAGTAGTACGAGTAGTAGTAGAGGGCATAGGCGCTTTCTACGCCTACGCCTCCTTGGAATTCAAACACGCGAAGGGAAAGGGGATAGGCCATAAAATTCCACGCCTTTGCATGGACGTGCGACGGTGCGAGTGGGGGGTGTCGCCGGCCCCACTCTCCTGACTGCGCGTGCATAGCAGACCTTAATCAATCTTCTTAATTCCCATCATTGCCTCCCTTTTTTCTGGTTGTCACCGAGTTTGAAACTCACCCAAAACAAAACTTCTGAAGTAGTCAATCGTATAGATAAAGGAATCTTATTGAAACATCATCGGCGGTTACTGCGACGGCAGCCGCAGTGGCAGTGGAGGGATCGATACTCTCATTCTGAAACAACCCAAAACTCCCCACATCACCATTAGGACCAATCCTTTTATTGCCATAACCGTAAGGTTTGGGCTGCCCTATTTTCTACTTCTCACAAAGTGATAAAGAGAAGTAAAGAGAAGTAACTTGGTTGCTTCAGATTGTAGCCTTAAAATGGTTCCCATGGTTGATTACCTTGAAGAATCCAAAATCTTCACAGGCTTGGATAATGAGCTGGGTCGGTTCAGGTAAAATCTGAGTTTTAGATAATGGGTTAGACATGTCTAAGAGTGGGCTAAATTGACGAGTTCAGTATTAGTAGACAGCCCGTTTCATGTCCATTGTTTTTGAAACGATTCGTTAATTCGGTGAATAGACGACGTCGTATTCGGATGAGAATTGCAATTAGGGTTTTGAGGCCGAGAATGCACTATATATATTGAGCTGCATTTGTCGTATGAGCCACCGCTCTTAACTCTATCTTCTTCGTCTTTTTTATTCATCTAAGTTCTACATTTTTTGTTATTTATTTTATACTGATTTATATGTTCTTTTATCATTGGAGGCGAAGAGGTTGCAGATCTGAGCAGATGATGAATGATAACAGTGTTTCACTGATAGCAATGATGCTTCATAATCGAGCTTTTTAAACCTGATGCTCAGATATCTCTTCGCTTTTTCCAATTTTTGCAATTTATTTCAATGTTTTCTTTTTTGTTTCTCGAAAAAAGCTTATTTCCACATTAACCGGATCCCTACGGTTGGCCTTTAGCTTCCGATAAGCGTTTACAATAGAGTTTTCTAAATTCTGGCGGTGATACATTGTTTTTAGCCTGCCGAACGCTTCCATTGGCTAAAATTTGGTGTTAATTTATATAGGCAAAGTAGAATGATATTTGTTAATTTATCACACATTATTAACAAATATAGACTAAATATTTTACTATGCCTATATAAATTAATATTATTAGACTCTTTAACTTAAAGAACTAATATATACTAAATTACTTTGTTAGTTTTATAGAATGACAATAAGATCAGTGTTGTTGTATGGATCAGAATGTTAGGCAATCAAGAAGAATCATGTAAAAAGAGGATTGAGGCCGCAGAAATGAGAATGCTTCGATGGACATGTGGTAGGACTTTATGTTTCATGACACCAAATTCTGCTATTAGGATGTCTAAGAGGTAGTGCATGTATTCGAAAAATTGAGGAAGAGAAGACTACAATAGTTTGGGCATATACTTAGGCGACAACCGTCGGATGCGGTCAGGAAGATAGAGTCGATTACAGTCGAATGTGCCAGAAGGAGAAGACTACCAAGGTGGAAGTGGGAAGACTGTTTGAGATCTGATTTGAAGGATTTAGCTCTTACCGAGGACATTACCTCTGATAAGAAAGTATAAAGACTTAAGACCATGATAGTCAAGTAGTGCGGGTCACATCCATAGGATGTATCATCTCTGTCTTCTTTAAATGTCTTTGTAGTAATCTCTATGATTTCTACTTTTAATATGTTTCTGTCATTAGAATTTATGAAGGTTTAGAATTAGGATAACGAAGTATTGTTGCCTTAGTTTTAGGTTTTAACAAATTTGACTTTATTTCTTCTCGTAGCTTGCTTTAGTTGACTTCCGTGTATCATGCATGGACTACTTCCCATTATGACGAGCATATGAAGACTACATATGAATATTGTTCAACTATTTATTTATTTATACGTGCATTGTATTTTATCTTAATTTTTAATTTTCTGACAGCCAGAGTTCTTTCACGGAAGCTGCTCTCAACCTGACGTTGGGGGCAGCCTACTACCTTACTTCCCCCTTACCCCATTGTATATAGGAATAAGGTTTTATTGTTGTTGTTGTTGTTTTATTTTTAATTTTTTTTAAATGTATTTTTAAAATATATTTTATACGTGTAATGTCGAACCAGCATAAGGTGTTTGTAAACTCAGGAAAGACTCGTCCTACAGGACGTACTTTTCAGCTGTCTTGTCACCTTAGTGCAAAGCTCTCTCTTTATGTGTTTTTCCAAAAGCGCTTTTTTACCTCATATTTTAAAGAGAAAATAACTTCAGTGACCGAAAATGCCTTATAATATATGATTTTAACCAATTTTTTTAGATTTGCAAAAATGACCAACACAGAAGTTTTAATTCGCAACACAAAAGTCAAATTCGCAAAACGCGTTTATTTTCGCAACGCGAATTTTATTTTCGAATTCGAAACACAATATTAATTTCGCAACACACATGTAAACAGTATAATCGCAAATCTTTACCTAAAACCCTAAATCACAACTCAATCTCATCTCCATCTCTCACTCTATACGGCGACATCCGTTCTCATCTTCGGCGAAATCTGTCTATCTCCATCTCTCAGAGCCACCCTCAACCATTCATGGTCAGAAATGGAAAATCAACCACCGAGGGTTAGTTTTTTTAATTATTTTTATTTTGAAAATTTTGTAATATTATTATTAGATTTTTCATATTTAAATTGATGATAAATTTACTGGTAATTTCAATAATAAATTAACCATTTCACTTAGATTGCTTAGTAAATTCATTCGGTTGCTGCCAATACTGCTAAACTGTTTAGTCTTTAACCCTGTGAAGTTAGTATTTGTCTTTGTTTTTGTCTTTTGATTGAAGTAATGCAATTCATTCAAGTTTCAATTTGCAGAAGACTATTTGAAACTTAAATTCACAACACGAAAATGAAAATCGCAACGCGAACTCCAATTTCGCAACTCAGTTTCCAAATTCGCAACGCGAATATGTAAATCGCATTACGATTTTCCAAATTCGCGTTGCGATTTTCATTTTCAGAAACTATTATTCTTCTGCAAATTGAAACTTGAATGAATTGCATTACTTCAACCAAAAAACAAAGACAAATACTAACTTCATTGTGTTGCGAATTTAAGTTTCAAGAATAAACTACTACTCTTTATGTTGTCCTTGAACCTGCACTAAACCTATATGTTATCCTTTTAAATGTTTATATAAGTGATTACTTCTAGAATATTATCGGATGCATTTTGTGAACTATGATAGAATAATGACTTGGGTGAATACCGTGCAAGTTTGAAACATATTTGGCTTTGTTTTCACTGTTTAATATCATGTCTGTTTATAGTGTATAATTTGTAGTTTTTGGTATATCTAACTTGGTATGTTTATTATTTTTGTAGAAATTTTTTTCGGCTTCATTGACCTTAAGGAATAAATTAAGCCTAGTCACTACAATTGCGTCGACGCTTACACCTGTAGAAAGAAAATTGTTTGAGGATAATTGCTTCGGGCCATGGCTGAAAGTACAACATCCAGGTGGAGATGTTATGTTGACCCATTTGTTTCTTCAGACCATGACTAACGATCTACCCGAGAGGATACAACGTGGTGATGAAGATATATTGTTTCATTTTCCTCCGGCGTATACTTGTTTTGGGCGGGAGGAGTTTTGCTTAACCATTGGTCTACGCTTCGGACACGATGATGTAGGTCGGTACACTAGTCATATCGCCCGCCCATCATGGTTATCTCGGGTTTTTCCTGATTTGGCAAAGGCGAAGCCGAATTTATACATCGACGACTTGAAAAGATTATTTGTTAAAGATGGTTTTACTTGGATGGATGACCTCGATGTTGTCCAAGTATGCCATTTATTACTTTTGCATGCCGACTTTTTAGGCAAAGAGGCCAGACAACATATTTCTGAGGACCTAATATTATTGGTAGATGACCTAAATGCCATCTATGGAAAGCTACTTGGAAAAAGTTATCTTCTGCCTTTGAGGACCGAAAAAGTTTGTGTGGCCATGGTTCCAAATACACTTTGGCAGGCTTTATTTGGGCCTTTAAGGTAAATATAATGTTTCCAAAATTATAATTAATTATTTAACAATTACTAATGTTTGTGTATTATATTGTTTGTAGATTTGGATATTTGAGGCTTTTCCCAGCATTCAGACATATGCAATCAAAAATTCAAATGATATTCCTAGGGCTATTTCCTGGATAAGGATCCGGCTGTTGGATTGGGAAGAGTTACTACCATATACGACGATGAATGATGTAAGTTAACACAAATACTACCATATATAAACAAGTTATTACTAGTAGACGTTTAACTTTTGCAACGCGAAAAATCAAATTCGCAACGTGAAAGTCAAATTCGCGTTGCGATTTCGCGTTTCGAATTTGACTTTCTCAACAATCGCAACAAAAAAACTGATAAGTGATAACAACTGAACAAATCATATCAATGTTCAAACTCAAGTTACTAATGAATGTCTAACTGAAATGTATGCATTCACACATAAAATACACATAATACAACGTTTGCATTTAAAAATCACCTAAGTTAATAAGTCCCAAAAGGTGAAGCCGATTGTGATTGAGATTTTGATTTTGATTTCCTTTTGCTTGGCACCATATGAGCTTTGGATTTTGATGAGGATCCATATTTTGGTAGAGGAAAAGATGATTGTGATGGCACTGGTGATCCGCAGGTCAACCTTGTATAACCACTTTCCTTGCACCGATTACATGTCGATATCCTCTTCTCTTCACCCTTAAACGGTATACAATCGTGATTTTTTGGTCGGCCAGGTAGCCTGCTATCCATGACTGGTGGCAAAATTATTTGTAAGTCATCTGGTATGTCCCACTCAGAAGGATGTGGAATAGGGTAGACAATCTCGACATAAGTCTGTCAATATACTTCTGTAGTGTAGCAATCCATAGCGTATGCGCTTGAATCATCTTGGTTTAGATGAAGAACAACTTTTATAACATGGCCACACGGATAACCATATGTTTTCCATTTCATACAACTACATATCTTTGCATTTAGATCGACAAGCTCATTTAAGTTATTATACAATACTTCAAACAAAGTGTTTGAACATGGTTCAACTCTCCATGACGTTGACTTCACAACACGTTTCGTTATCTTTTTTTCAGTCCATGGTGTAAAACGACGTTCCAATGTTCCTGTAAATTTAAATAAATAATACTTAGTAAAATTATGATACGTTACGAATTTAAAGAAATAATACATGCATGGTTTCTTTTCTTGTAGTACCACTGTTGAATAGAGGCTCGAAAAAACTCCATTATCATAGTAATGGGTAATTTTCGGGAATGACGACTTATAGCGTTGATTGATTATGTACTATTAGACGTCATGAAACCATATCTTGCTCCAAGTTGATGTACTCTTGACCATCTTTCAAACCTGACATCTTCTAGGGTTTGAGCACATTGAGGCAAAACACTTCTTAAACAATTTATATGCTTATTAAAATCCACTTTCTGATAAGCTTTTACAGCCTTCCAGTATGTCCATTTGTGATTTTTTATACCAGCAGACCTTGCTTTTAGATTTCTGTACAAATGAACACCACAAAGTCCATGAAAAGTATCTGGGAAACACTTTCTAACAACATTGTCAATTGAGTTTGCCCTATCGGATATGATTTTCAGATTGCTAATATGACCTATGCAATCCCTAAGATGCCCCATAAACCATATCCATGAATCAGAGGTTTCAAATTTGCCAACCCCGTAAGCTATTGGCAGTATCCCATTGTTAGCATCCATGGCTACTGCTAATAAGTTTACTCCAAGGTATCGATCTTTCAAATGTGCTCCGTCAACTATAATAACTGGGCACATGTAAGTAATAAACGAACGAATCTACAAAATAATATACACAAGACATAATCATTTAAATGTGAAATGCATGTAACTAACAAAAATGAGTCAATAAAATTATATTGATTTACTAACCGCAGCACCAATGGCGATAAACAGCAACTCAAAGCGTCCATCTCTATCTGTTTTGATATGAGTTACCGACCCATGATTTTTCAGCTTTAAATTGTGACAATAAGCCGGCAGTTGGCAAATGCTTCTGGAGACCCCCTCAACAATTCCAAGGCATAACATTTGGCTCTCCAAGCTTGAGAATATGAGATACTAATCTTGAACTGAGCATTCATGTCAGGCATAATTTCATGTCCCCGATATACCCTGCCATTCAAAATCATTAACTCAGCCAGAAAACCACCCAACACCTTTTTGTTTGCCTGTATATGGTAAGGAAAAACTTGGGTTCTTGAACATATATGCTTATTAATAAAAGTCCTAACTTGAAACATTTCACAATCTTTTATCCTCTTTGCAATCATACGCCACGTACAGTTTTTTTCAATCATACACTTTGTTTCGAAACGATCTTTGCTTGATTTGTTAACTTTTAGTTGATAGCCATCTTCAACATATTTCGTATACAAAGCTATCGTCAAGTCTTCCTTTGTATCAAAACAATCATATTTCTTTATACGAATAACTTTTGTGTAACAATCAACTGATATCTTTACCAACTCTTCTTCTGGTATCTGAAGTAATTATGGCATATTCCAGTTATACTCCCGTGGCATTTTCTTTTTTTTCTTTTCTTCGGGGACTTTTTTTTCTTCTTTTTCTTCTTCAGGGTTATATGAATTACAGAATGGATGTTCAACATGTTCATTCACAGTCGTAACTTCCTCCTCATTATTATCAGCAACATCTTCCTCGGCAACAGCTGTTTCATCATCAAAATTCAGGTATTGACCAATATCAAAATCATTACACGCAGGGTCTGTTTCTTCTTATGAAACATCATCAAAATCCGAGTATTGACCAAGATCAAAGTCCGGGTATTTACCAAGATCAAATTTCGAATACTGACTAGTACTCACAATTTTTTCTCTTGGCTCATAATCGTCTAACTGGTCAATACGAAAATCGGAATTGGTGCTGAAGTTGATTGGGATTAGGAAAAGGTTGCGGGTTTTGAGATTGTGTTTGGTATTGGAAATGTGGTAAAACAAAATTTTCTTGGTGATGAAATGGTGGAACCATTAAATTTGAGGTTCATAACAACGTTGTACATTGTAAGCACCATAAACTGAGGTTGAAGAACTTAGTTGATTACTACCCGCTACTGACCCAACTTCACTACTTCTAGGTTCAACAACATACAATGTAACATCATCTTCTTGCGAAACTAATGTAAGCAATGAATCGTTCAACATCTTCATTGTCGGTTAACAATAAATTTACCTTTTCTCTGATAAGATAGCCTAAATCCACATAGAGGCTTTAAATTCAATTTCTTTGCAACACTAACATTAGAGTTTCAAAGTTAACTTTTTAATGACAGTTTTAGTTGAAGATTCATGGGTAAGGCATATATTGTAAAACACCATGAACATTCTCCAATGACCCTCCAAAACACAAATCTATCTAAACATGATCAACATTAGATGATTTCATTCTACAAATTGTAAATTAATTTACTAAACAAACGAGCTATAAACTTCATATCATCACTAACTTAGAGAAAACATACATTTATTAAGTGATAGTTTATAATTTGGTAGAGAAATCATGAAAATTATATAGAAATAAAATTATGTAAAAACAATTAGAGATGAGGAAGGATGTCGTTGGATATAGGAATGGATGTCGCCGGAAAGAGTGATAGATGGAGATGGAAGGAGTTGTGATTTAGGGATTTAGGTTATGAGTTGCTGCTGCTGCGTAGTTATATACCCAAAACATTTGTGTTGCGAAATTAAAATTCGTGTTGCGAATTTGAAAATCGAGTTGCGAAAACAAAATTCGCGTTGCGAATTCAAAAATCGAGTTGCGAATTTGGAAAATCACAACGCGGTTTACAGATTCGCGTTGCGAATTTAGAAACTGAGTTGCGAAATTGGAGTTTGCGTTGCGAATTTGTTTTTCATTTTCGCAAATCCAAAAAAAGTTAGTTAAAATCGTATATTATAAGACATTTCCGGTCATTGAAGTTATTTTCTCTATTTTAAAAGGGTGATGTTTTAGTATATATTCAACTAAGGATGCTATTTTGGTATATTATAATTTATTGGGTGGTATTTGAATAAAAAACACCTCTTATGCGTAGCTATGCAAAAAGTACATTTTATATGTGGGTAAAATGCATTTTTAAAACTTTTAGAAGAAAAATAAATTTGTAATGATTATATACATAATTCGATATATCTTTAGTTCATGAATTAAAAAGGATATTAGTGTTAGTCTATATATACATGAAGTGTTAGATTATATTTCTTAATAATATGAGATTAAAATCTTAAGAGAAGCCTCTTGATTTTTTTTCATATTTTCAACTTTTTTATATATTTAAAATATATCATGATAAATCCACTTATACTCTATTATTAAATTGTATTAATTTAATTTTTATTAAAATATAAATTATTTTGATATTAATTAAATTAGATATTTTTATATAATATTATATATTATTACTTTAAATTATGTATTATTTTTTAAGAATATTTTAATGAGAATATTTAAATAAAATTGAAATTAAATGAATAATTATATTTTTATAATATTTTCATAAGAATATTTAAATTGATACATAATAGATCACTAACTTTAAAATTTTAAATTTATATGAAGAAAATAATTTTTAATGAATTTTATATTGATAAATACTTTTTTAAAGAGATGTATTTAAGTAAAAAAAACCAAGTTAAATGTGTGTTTGGTTGTTTTTAATGAAATTAGTTTTTGCTTTACTTGATAACCTAATCAATTGATTCGAACTTTTTATTGAATAAAGGAAGTACACAAATAAAATTAATAATTAAAATATATTCAATTTCAGACCAAATATTTTGTAACTCTTGATCCATAGAATGAGGATTGAATTAGACTATGATGTGTTACAATCTACCTTGGATGTGCACATATCGTGTCCTCTAACCCAATAGTTATAAAGGACAAAAGCCCAAATGACTTTGAACATGTCTTGTAGCCCAATAAAAAGGCAATTGAGAATCTCATGGTCCAAGTGTGGAGACTGAAGTATTGGACGCCCTTTTCAGTGAACCAACCATCGGTTGCTGCTTTCATGTGAAGAAGTTTATTCATTTTTAGTAGGTTTTCTAAGTTTTAATTATTTAAGATATTTTAAAATAATGTAGATTAAAATTTTCAAATTTTGATTAAAATTCATAATATAAAATTCTAGTAAGTCCAATAAAATTGAGAAACAAATATATAAGATCCTGTGCATACCGACAGCAACCAGTGGGCCAGTGAACAAAACCCTGTTGGTCTCAAACAGTTCAATTCGTCGAGCATATTCTCAAACACGTGCCGGATTTGGTGCACCAACCGTGGTGTTTATTTTCTGAGTGGGGACGACGAACGAAACATCCGAGAAACGGGGGAAAAGACCATGATTTAATCGAGTACAAAAGAAAAGTCAGTACAACAACAGGTGACTTGAAATTAAAATTTGAAAAGAGCGGCACCAAACCGCGCACACCGTCGAGATAAGCAAAATAGGAAAGTGGTGGGAAACCGCAAGCATCGAATACAAAATGCCAAAACATCCCCCAACCACCAAAAACTTGCTCCTCTCAACTTTTTAATGCCTATATAATATATATTTGTATTTTACATTCGATAGAAGGGCAATATGGGCTAATAAAACTTGGCTCCGACCGCCAACAAACACGGCTTTTAAGGATTAGCAACCATATGGGGATGCACGAGTCACCTGGAAAACAAATTAAAAAAACGTGTTACTATTTTACAAATAAAGAAATTAAAATAAATACTTTTTTGGGACACGTGGTATCTGTGTTCAACGCCATTTGCTTTTTTTTTCCTTTTTGTCACCTTTCGGTGCATTATTTTAGTTTATGTAAGATTTCAAAATGAGAAGTTTATAACCTTTTTTCTAAGCCTATGGTATCCCGGGGGGGGGGGGGGGAGTACTTTGACTATTTGCCGACACCGACTCTTTGCATTTTCCATGTGCTTAACCTCTACAATACTTTTTAATATAGCTAATACTTAAAACTAAGTGAGCATATTTTGCAATTCAAAGTTAAGATTAGAAAATAAACCTATTTATCCCAATATCACCATTTTGAAAATTTATTTTCAACTTAATATTATGATATAAATTATATTTATATAAATTAAAATTAAATATTTTAATTTATTAAAAGTGTTATTTTAAAATTTATTTTTAAACATGGGTCAATTTGGAAATTATATATATATATATATATATATATATATATATATATCAATTGTGATATTTGGGTAAAAAGCCCCATAAAATAGAGATTTGGTAATTTGTGATCCAACATATATATATATATATATATATATATATATATATATATATATATATATATCATTTAACCTCTACAAGCTATAGAAAGAGAGAGCAAAGTTACCTCTCCTTGCGCTTTTCCAGAAACCGCTGCAAGGACTTTTTCCGGGCAATTGGTAAATCTGCATAGAAAACCAAGCACAATCACTTACTTAGGCATAAATTTTATAAGATTAGAGAAACTATTAGTTTTTACATGAATTTATCAAGTTCAACATGCAAAAAATTGAGGAAATTTTGCAGGCACTGACCTTCATCAAGAGTTTCAAGAAGCTGCTGTTGTTGATCGCTTGAAGGAGTTGCCACTTCCGACTCTATTGATTCAGCATTTTGTGAGACTCCTCCAACGGCGAGTTTTATGATGCTCTGCGCCTAATCAAAATTTCACAGACATGTTAATGCCATTGATTTTTTTACAATAAATCAATCTTCTTTTTATTTTTTGGACAATTAATTACATATATTTTCAAAGATTTTAAATACTGCAAGGGTTTCATAAAATGATTATTGTTAAACAAACCATATCACGAGGTAGATTGAAAACGGAGACCGTTCCATTGTAGAAAATGGTCAAGGGAGCTGTTTCAGGACCTTTCTCAGATGCAGCCCTGAATAAAAGAGGATTCACACTTTTCGCATCAGAAATTTTAAGTTCAAATCCGTTCTGTGAAAAAGAAAAATTTATTGAAATTAAGGAACTAGTTGGGTACCTTGCAGCAGGGGTAAGAAGAGGTAAATCTGGAAACAGAGACTGTGTTTCCTTGGGACTCGAAGGGACCGAAGCAGACTTGTTCGACTCAATCTGATCCTGACTCGTCGGGTTCGTCAAACCAGAGGTAATCACTGATTTGATAAGCTCCGGATTCATCTTCGAGATGGCGCCTTGAAGAGCTATTGAAAATCAATCATCAACGTTGTTCAAACATTCAAGATTCATCCACTAAGAAAAAAAGGGGGAGTAGATTTAAACGTACCTCGAAAGCTTCGACGGCGATCGAGGAATTTTTGAAACTGAGATTTGCAAGGGTTCTCTTTCTCCATGCCAAAGAAATTAAGCTCAACGCTAGCTCTCGACATACTGTTTTACTTGAAATGAGAAAACAGCTTTTTCTTTTCTGTTTCTTGGTTGAGTGTAGTGAAGAAAACGTTTATAAAAAGCGAGGAAGATGAGAAAGTTGAATATAAAGAGGCGGGGAGCGGGAAGGGGATAATGCTAATAATAATAACAGGGACAACATTCAATTATATCGAGTAATAATAATATAATAAAGAAATAGGGACACAACTTCCACGTGCTATATGTGTCACCCTTTAAAGGAGCAGGTCCAACCATACAACAGTTGTAGCATAGTTAAAAGTGAAAGATTGCTTAATGGATTAAAACTTTCATTTTCTTTTATCTAAATATCATTAAAAGATAATTATCGAATTAACACTAAATTATAAATTAATTTTTTACATTTTTTAGAAGGCATTTTTTCTCAAAAGGTCTTCTACTTGCGTCATAGTAAAACAGTTGGGAAAAAATAAAAAGCATATGAGGTACGTGTTAATTACATGTATTCGTACGGGCACGAATATAAGCATGTGTCGGATAATGACAACAACACGCATATATAAGTTATTTTTCCAATTACTCAATAAATAAATGTTGGAAACTTACATTTAAATATTTAGGAAAAAATTACACATCTAAAATAATGTTTGATTTGATAAACTTATGGTTAAATATAATATTTTTTAGATGTTAAATATTAGAATGTTAATAAAGATTAGTTAGTATTTGTTATTAGTTATGATTTAATTTGTTATGATTTGTTGCTTACTTGGACTATATAAGCCATACCTTTGTATGAGGTTGAAGTAGAGTTTATTCAATATTCAATAGAAAATTTATGTCATCTTTCTCTCTTTACATTTCCTCCTTTCCACGTTTGTTAGTTTCATGGCTGCTTTCTCACATGGTATCATTCGTTAAAAGATCTTGACATCGTTTTCTCTTCCGCCGTTGCGCCGATGATTGAGTTCCTTTACTCTCACTCTTTCCTTTTCTTCCAAACAAGTCACTCAAAATCATTGTTCTTTTTCTTTTTTCCCTCTCTTTTCTCATGACCCAAACAACATCCTACCCCACCATTAACCACATCAATGTTAACAATAACAATGGCATCGGCCATAGACATAAAAGCAAGCTCGCAAGAACCTTTCACAAAGTCATCAACCTAAAGTCCTCGACAAAATTCTCTTCAAACAATGGTATTGGAATCTGCGTTTTCCCATCACAGAGCAAATTCGAGTGTTACAATTCAAATCCAGATCAGAAAATCTTTTCCCGTGGAAATCCCAAGCAGAAAGCTGTGTTGGAAGCTTTGGTTGCGAAGATTTTCGCTAGTGTTACAGCCATCAAAGCTGCTTATGCAGAGCTTCAAATGGAGCAAAACCCATACAAAAATGGCGTTGTCCAGGCTGCTGATGAAGCCATCGTCGAAGAACTGAGAACACTCTTGGAGTTAAAGTGAAAGTTCTTGAAGCGAGAGCTTGATCTTTCACCTCTAATCACTTTAATGCTTGCTGAAATTCAAGAACAGCAAAGCTTGAAGAAGACTTACAAGATCACAATCAAGAAACTGGAATCCGACGTTGAAGCAGAAGGTTCAGAGGTTGATTCACTCCATAAACAGTTCAAAGATCGCCTTGCTTTCAACAAGTCCCTGGAGAAGAAATTAAACGCTAGCGGGTCATTATCGATGTTCGATAATATCAACAAGATTTCAATGCTGAATCCGAGTCATTTTCTTCAAGTTTTGCATAAAGCTTTGTGATCGGTTCGTAGTTTCGTGAAATTGATGATCAAGGAAATGGAGTTAGCGAATTGGGATCTCGATGCAGAGGCTAAAGCCATTGAACCGGGTGTTGTTTTCGTTAAAAAAAAATCACAGGTGCCTCGCGTTTGAATATTTTATGTGTAGAACAATGCTTGAAGGCTTAAATCTCCATGATTTTTGCCTCGGTAAAGAGATTAAACCAAAAAAATAGACCCGGGAAAGCATTTCAATGAATTCAAGGCCCTGAGATCAGCAAATTCAAAGCTGTTTTTAGCTCGAAAATCCAGATTTTTCTTTTGGGAAATTCATTAGGGCCAAGTATCTCAACCTTGTATAAGAGGATGAAGAAGAAAGAAATGGAGGTGAATAAGAAGAACGAAAGAAAGCATCGGTACTTCCGATTCAAGTTGAACGGAATGAAGCATCGACACTTCCGATTCAAGTCGAACGGAAGGAAGCATCGGCACTTCCGATTCAAGTTGAACGGAAGGAGGCATCGGCACTTCCAATTCAAGTCGAACGGAAGGAAACATCGACACTTCCGATTCAAGTTGAACGGAATGAAGCATCGGCACTTCCGATTCAAGTCGAACGGAAAGATGTATTACATTTTCATTTCAAGTGTTCGTTTTTTCATCAAGAATGTTGAAGAAGTCGGGAGAATATTAGAATGTTAATAAAGATTAGTTAGTATTTGTTATTAGTTAGGACTTAGTTTGTTATTAGTTTGTTATGAATTGTTGCTTACTTGGACTATATAAGCCATACCTTTGTATGAGGTTGAAGTAGAGTTTATTCAATATTCAATAGAAAATTTGTCATCTTTCTCTCTTTACATTTCCTCCTTCCACGTTTGTTAGTTCCATGGCTGCTTTCACACATTAATTATAGGTATTAAATATGCGATAGATATTGACTTATATTCTAATTAGAAACTAAGTTGAATTTTGTTGTAATTTTACTGATTGAATATTACTTGCTCATTGAGTTTGTTTAGTTGAGAAATCTTATGGAGTAAGGACTATTGGTGATCAAGTATTTGAAATTATAAATAGAGGGTATGTTTCAATCTTTAGAATTACGAGAGATAATTATTTTAGAGGAAGTTGATCTCTTTATAATTTTTGTAATTTTTAGGGTTTATGTTCCTGAAATAAAATTTATAAAGATGTTGAGAGACTGATTTGGATATTTTGAGTTTTGGTATAGATACAAGATTTTGAGACATTGTATTTGCACCCTTCGTAGTCTCTACATTTATAATGGATTATTATTCTTTTCATATGTGAAAGTAATAAAGGTTGAATCATGTTAAGTCTCGTATCTTGCATATGTCTAATTCTTTGTTGATCTCGTTTTGATTAATTATCTACTTACAAATTTCTAACAATTTGATTAGACATATATCAACATGATAATCTAATAAAATTATGAATTATTGAATTACTCAAACAAGAAGAAAGCAAGTAACATTGTAGTTTATTGATACGCAAAGAACTTGATTACAATCTGCTCAATTGTCATGCATATATAGTATGCGTGTGAGTTAACTAGAGTTTGTTAAGCCTAACAGACTCTAACTAATAGACTCTAACTGAATCTTTAATAGCCAATGCCAGCTCAGTTACCTAGCACCAATAACTGCATACCCACGTGATACATTCTTTAGTTCTAATATTCTCCCCACTTCTTTTCCTTCTGTTGTTTAGTTTTGCTGCAAACAAACTTTGGCTCGAAAGCTTTCAAATGCAGCCTTCGATAACGGTTTTGTGAAGCCATCAACTATTTGGTGCATGGCTGGAACGTAGTTAACACAGAGTTGACCGGCTGCTACTTTCTCCCTTACAAAGTGTATATCAAGTTCAACATGCTTCGATTGAGCATGATACACAGGATTGGCACTTAAGGCTACGGTACTGGAGTTATCACACCAGATAACAGGTGTGCATTTTTGTGAAATACCAAGATCTTTCAATAATGCAGTCACCCAAGTAACGTCTGCTGTAGCATCTGCAACACTCTTGTATTCTGCTTCCATAGTAGACCTCGATACTGTTTTTTGTTTCCTTGACGACCATGCAACCAAGAAAGATCCCAGGAACACTCCATGTCCTGATATGGATCGATGATCATCAATATTGGAACCCCAATCTGCATCAGCAAAGGCTATCACATCTAAACTGGCTGTTGAGGCAGGAAAGTGAAGACCATAATCTAAAGTGGCAGCCAAGTATCGAATGATTCTTTTAATGGCTGCAAAATGAGAATTTCTGGGCGAGTTCATGAACTGTGCTACTTGACCAACGCTAAACGAGATGTCAGGCCTTGTATGACACACGTAAAGTAGAGACCCTACAATACTTCGATATTCAGTTGCATTCTGAATTAGTACACCTTCTTCATGCGAGAGTTTAGCAGACACGATCATCGGTGTATTGCAGCCAGCAACATTTAGCATACCAGTCTTCTCCAAGAGTTCCAAGACAAATTTTCTTTGATTCAAGATCACAGCCTCCTTAGAGCATTTAACTTCAATTCCTAAGAAGTAGCTCAACTCCCCTAGATCTTTTAATGAAAACCTTTCATTTAGCATGAACACAACTTCTTCAGTATCATCCAAGGAATGCCCTATGATGACTATGTCATCAACATACACTAGTATGTAGATGACTCCACGAGGCGTGTGTTTATGAAACAGCGAGGGGTCGGCTCGAGAGACAGCAAATTGCATTTGTAGCAAGTTTTCTTTTAGTTTCTCATGCCAGTTTCTGGGCGCTTGTCTGAGCCCATATAAAGCTTTCTGGAGTTTACACACAAGTGGCAGTCCATGTTCGTCCACTTTTTCGAAGCCCGGAGGCTGCTGCATGTAGACATCTTCTAGCAGCTCCCCGTTGAGAAATGCATTATTAATATCAATATGCCTAAGTGTCCAGCTGTTGTGCACAGCAACAGTAAGAATTATATTAAAGGTTGAAAACCGAACAACAGGACTAAATGTTTCATTGAAGTCATAGCCCGGAATATGTGAAAAGCCTTTTGCAACTAACCGTGCTTTGTATCGCAACACAGAGCCATCTGACTTGCGTTTTATTTTGTACAACCATTTGCAGCCAACTGGGGTTCGTCCTTCTGGAAGCTTAACAAGAGTCCAAGTGCCATTTTTAAGCAGTGCATCATATTCATCTTGAGTCGCTTGTTTCCAATGTGCAACTTGAAAGGCTTTATGAATAGAGCCAGGAACATCTTCAGCATATTCAGCAGTGTATGTCTTGGGTTTAAAAATACCACACCGACTACGCGTCATCATACCATGAACTCGTTGTGGAGCAGGTTGGATATCACTTGAAGAAGATATAGTAGCTTCAGGAACTGA